CTTACCTGTTCCTACTGGGATGAGCAACTCAGTCTTTTGGAATACAAATCTTGATAATAGGGTTGTCATACCACACTGAGCTTTTACAGACGAGGATTTATGAGCTGCAAGAGTTCCTGGAATTGCGCATTTTGTCTTGTTGCTCCGCCAACGCACTCCATATAAGTCACGATGCAAAGGGCAAATAGTAAACTTTAGATGCTCCTCTTTGACCTCAAAAACACCTAAAAAAGAAAGCACATCATAAAAAGCAGAAGATACAACCGAAAAATTTAATCGTTTGATAGATATCCTTACCTGCACGTGCAAGAAGTAGCAATGATTCACTTCCAGATAGGTTAACATCATCGCTAATTTTGTAGAGTGCACAATGATTGGAAATGTCCTTGTCACAATTCTTGATGATAACACATTCTGTTATTGAATCATTATACGTGCTTGGACCACAAGGGCCACCAACTAGTGCTGCAAAACGGCAAGACGCCATTATGTAAACAAGATAAGGTTGACGTCTTGGTAGTTTTGCTTACGTCCGCAAATTGTAGATAATCGTCTCCGCACAATAGACTTGTGATTGTAAACACTCGAATTGATTATTGATTCACCTAGTTAACTTACAAAATCACTGCAATAGTTTAAAGAACAATACAATTGCTAAGCTGTTAAAGCTTATGTCTAACTCAGTTTCGAAGGAAATAAAAGAAAAGCTATTTTAGCGGAAAGTTCTTTTGATGGGTTTCCTGTGCTATCACATGTCACCTACTCGGCTCTAAAGACTGACATGTTTATTTAAAGTTTCCAAGTCGTTTAAGAAAAATATTGGACGTCAAAAGGACGAAAACAACACTATGTTTCAAGTAAGTTTAATGCTATAGAGTTTTTTTTACAAGATTAACAGAATKWTACAGATATTATTTCTTGATCAGTTAGCGTGACGGATTTGTGTTTTGAAATGGAGACGTCTGTTATCGATTTGATTATATGTGACAARTTTTTTCTTTTGATTTTGCCTTAAATGCTCTCCTAACTGAGACAAAGCTTAAGAACAACATCCAAAAGTTGTTTAATAAGTAAAAGGTTTCTTATCTTCGGGATTTAGCGTTTTAGTCACCTCAAGTGTATTCTGTAATAGATTGCGTTACGGTGATGGACGTGACATTGATCTATGATAATAGCACCTACATTTTGACCTCTCAGCGAAAGAGGTTTTGCGTGCCGCCAAATCTTTTTTGGCACGTTTAAAACCAAAGGTTGTCCTTTACGCCAGTTGTATTTTTGGGATTATTGCTCATGTACCACAGGTCGTTTCGGCGTATTGAATTTGGTCAAAATTTGGCATTCGCCTCGAATTGATAAATGCTCTCTCTTTGTCATAACGAAAAGCCCTTCTAAGTTTTGAAATATGCGAATGTTATTGTTGAATTACAACATATAAAGACGAAATTTGATTGTGGAAAAAGATGGTTTTAATTGGAGTAAAGAGGTTTTGTCGCGAGCTCCTCAAAAAATCGTCTATTTTACTCCTTTGTGGCGACCAAAAACCGTAAAATCCATCTTCCCGTAATTTCTCCAAAAACAAAAGGCGCTCGGACTTTTCAATTATARTTTTGAAAATAACTTACCAAAGGCATTCTTTTGGGGAAATAAAAAAGATTTCCAATTTTTCGATCTGTCAATAGATTCTCGATATTTACTGACACTCGCTCTTAACATCTAAATAATACAATGTAATGTATATTAAAG